TTGTTTACCTTTAAGGACAAAACGATTACTTTGAAGCTGCCGCAAGGTACAGGTGGTCAAGCGGAAGTCGCAATAGTAACCAAACACCTACCGAAACCTCTAGCAACCTTGACAATGGCTGACTCAGGAAATGAACCCGATGGATTACGGTAAGATGTGAGGGGAAAAGAAGTGGACCTGAGGTACCGCCCTTGTGACAAGGAGGCAAGCAGTAAATCGTATCCGATGACCGACGTAATCTGATAAAGCTATTTAATGGGCCGACGGCGTGAGACGAAGCGTGCCATGGAAAACCGAAAGGTGAAAAGGTCACAGAGACTGAGACTACTGTATTGTCGTTCATATTGTTGCTTTCTGAAGGAATGTGGCGCATTGCCAGAGAAGGCGGTATTGGAGATCCGTACTTCATTAGATCAATCCGCGCAAACGCCATCCTCTCACCCAAGTTCTTTCATAACCTCCTTCAAAGTCTTTTGTTTAAGTTTTCTCGAGTATGAGCTGGAAACTTGGTAGCTGTTGTGACCAAGAATAGTTCGGTGATTACGAGTTCGAGCACCGACATAGCCGGCTGGAAAAACTCCTTTCGGACGAAAGCCGGCAACCGAGAAACTTTATTGATAATTCCCGAATTATTTAATTATTTTTTAATAAAAATGAAGAGATGTGAGATTGTGAAGCCCTCCAGGTCTGACTAGAAGCTCCAAGTTTGTTCAATCCTGTGTCATAATGGCCTCCGATTGAGAAACCAATTCGGACATAGAAGTCGGATCATATGCAAAGGACGCATTTGGTGCAGCAGTAGGAGTAGGAGTAGTAGCATTGCATCTAACATCTGTGAAGTTTGCAATCATGGGCACATACTTGTCACAGACTTCGGAATAGTTCAAATGGGCCCTGTAAAAGTGTTTTGAAAAACATTACCCAAAAAAACAACAACTAATACATATTAAGTTCAAACGATGGAGTCTCCTAGCGCTGATCAAGCCCTAATCTTGGGACCTAGTATTCGACGTCTGTTCAGAATCGTGATGGCGTTCTGAATGCTCATGTAGCCTATACAGTTGCTTGCTGTAGCCAGCTGATGCATAAGCCAGTGCTCTTTTGACCTTCCAGAACAGTCTGGTACCAATTATCCAACCCAGAGGGATGACTTCACGGTTAATCTAGGTATATATACAACCTGAACTCAATCACGGGTCATGTTTGTGATAGTGCGCCACATGCCACTGAACTACCTAAGCTCTGCTATCACGTAATAATGACTGCACTTGACTCGTCAGAAGTGAAATCAACTTACGTCAGGTCGTACGCGATCCGGGTCCCTTCAATAGACTCATTAAGCACTTTCTTGACGAGCCTGGAATCCATTCACCAATAGAAAGTAAAGGTAGAGAAAAATGTAAAAAATTGCTTCGAAGAATGGGTATCATAGTTCAATGGATTCAGAAAAGTTCGAGGGAGTTCCACAACAAATAATGCCTTGACAGAATGAAATTGCGAAATTTTTCTCATAGAGGAAGCCCTATAGGCATAGGTTTTACCGCGCGTGAAGAGTACGTGCAGCTTAAGCTCCTCGCTATGGGAATGATTTGATTTAAAAGCATTTCATACGGTCCAAGTGTTGTGTTCACGAATTTCGTAACGATATCACATCGTTTTGTCATGTTGCTGCTGCTGCTCCAGAAGATTAGCCCATCGGCGCCCATTTTATACGGCAGTACAATCGTGCTGCACAAGTCTTCCTGAAATTTTGAAAAATGAGCCAGGTGAAACTGTGCCGATTGAGAATCAGGCTCAAATATATCCAGATAGATCAGATCAGTTGAATAGTTCATGTTCAAAGTTTAAAAGCTCGTACCCTTGTGTAGAAGGAGCATAGCTGGTTAAGGGGATCGTATTCAAATTTTGTGTATACATAGATGGGCAAATGCCGGCTGTAGTTCCGAGCAACCCGCAAAGTTTCAGCCATTATAGCCTAAAATATCCTATGTTCTACCAGAACAGATCGTTGATAGGATCTTGAAAAGGAAAAATCGGAGACTTTAGCAACAGCTCCCAGGTGGGGACGACGGCTGGCCCCATTGCCATCTGGACAAAGGTTGCGATTCGCCGAGCAATAGAGGAGATATGGGTTGGGTAAGCTCACAAATGAATTTACTCACTGCTATCAGTGAAGAATGAATTAAGTCTAGAAGAGCTGCATTGATCGAAGGAAGTACTACTCCTGAGTTATACAACTTTCTGGGTGGTCTTAGCGGTTCCGATCTACAGCTAGGAATTTCTTAATGCTCAGGTGCTATAGATTCTTACCTGTACATACCGAAAGTTTCGATGATAATCAGTTTTGTTGTTGAGATAAATTGAAGGATACAATGCTTGGCTTGCGTTGAAGATGTACTCCATTCTAAATTCTAAACAGTAATCCACTTGAAAACTCTGCTATTCCAAGATGAGGTTAGTCGTCGTGATAATGTAAAAACTTTTGTGTGGAATAATAAAAATATTAATGTTTGAGAAATCAAGTTCCGTATTTTCTTGCTGTTTACAGCGACAAATGCTACGAGAATATCCTTCACCATAGCAATTCGAAGCTATCTCGTAAATCGAAATCATTCAAATTTCAAAAATTCGAATTCAAAAATATAATCTTACAAAAAAGGATGATTGATTGTGACTTGACGATGATAATATGGAGGGGTAGATTATTGGGACCTACAACTATTCTTTTCAAATTTGCTTCCATTACTTTCATCTGAATAAGCGAAATGAGTTCGATGACTTCCTCGTAGGGGTTAGAATATTCCTCGTAGAAGCACCTGCCCAAATTTCATTGGAGAAATTGAGTGCATGGCCCAACACTTGCGAATCGGTGACATTTAGGGCTTCTATTCATTCCTTCCCTTTTCGATTCGAGACAGTGATGTACCAGAATAAGGGAGTCAAGGATAGGTTTCTTCAAGCTGGTACGAAGTCTACCACTTTTATTTTTAATTTTGTAAGAGTTTTTAATTAATACGTAAATAAACAATTCCTCACCTGTCATTGAAAGTCTTGTATCTATCCATGCACCTAAAGTCAGTAACATTCTTCCCTGCATCATAATTACAATATGGAAAACCATACATACCCCAGAGGGTTTTGTTACGAATCTGTGTAGCATTTCTCAGAGTGGTTTCAATGAATAATCTGAAAAAATGAGGAGAAAAACAATGTGGACTACAAACATTGCAACGGCCAAGTTTTTATTGTCGCACTATTGACAACTCCTAGCCCAGGCTGTTTACGTGACCCAAAGTTGAAGCATTCAAGAGCAAGTTCTCGGTATAGGTTAGCTGAGTATGGAAATAATCATATTCCCATATTCTGTTTTTTTTTCTGCCCCAAGATCTCATTCCGCATCCCACAATTCAACACTAGCACCCCAACCCCATATGACTAGGCTATGGGAGAATTCGTTCTCAAGAACTGTCCGTTTGGTAAAAGGTAAGGCCAAATAACCAACCAACCTAGCTGCTTTCTCGTATTTCTCTTCTGCGGTTTTGTTTAACAGCGTAACGTTGGTGGTTTGGAGAGTCAAATTGGTAATCAGTACAGCTGCATCCTTGTATACCTCGAATATGAATGGTGAAAATAGGTTTCTGCACGATGATTGACATAATTAACAATTAACATTGAAATTCTCCAAGGTTGGCATTTTGTGGACAAGATTTCAATCTCTATTGGGACACGTACGTGTCGCCTTCGTCGCCCGGAAAGCAAAAGATCGGGTTCGAGTCTCGTCCAGGACTAAAGTTACAAATCGCCAAATCGCCAACCTTGTGAGACTTTTGAAATGTATACTGCGGCGAACTAATAACAGTTTACAAAACACCAATTCAAACATACTAACATTGAATTTCTGGAGTTTTCCTGCTCTTAGGTTTTATTTAAGGATTGCTGTGTAGATGAGTTTCCCCAGATTAGTTAATAAAACCTCCCTTAAGGCTTGAAGCTTGAAACAAGTTACTTAAATCTCCACATGGTTTTCTGTGAATAATACAACAAAACTATTTAAAACAAGATCATGTACTGTAATTGCCTTCCGTGCTCGAGCTAACCAAGCTAGATTTTGCGATAGACCTAACGTATATAGACCTAAGATATCAAGGTCCGAAGATGATGGGTATCGCCTGATATTCGGCTATTTCGCACTCCAGAAGGACGCCGAGCCAGGATCAAGATGTGTCTGCTAAGATTCGAATCAATTTGTGCTTCCCGGCCAGAACTTTTCAAAAAGATTACCTGCTTTTTCATACAATTTGTAATGAATAATGGACGCCATTCTTCAAAATCTATAATGCCAAGACCAGAAGAATTACTATATTTTATATGGGTAGTGATGTTCTGTATGGCAACTCTGATATGTTCATCCAAAGCATCCTGAGTGAGGTTCTGAAAAACCGCAAATATTCCCGTTTCAAATGAAAACTCGACGCATACTCATACTTGAGGTGTCCCATTGTTGATAGGATTACCCAGTTCATAATTCTTGTAGTAAGGATAGCGACCGAATGTGAATTCATAGAATAGAGCCACCTTTTCTCCAGTGAAATTGTGATCTGAAATAAAGTTTTTTACTGGAAAAAAGGAGATCTGAGAATAGGCAAACATAGATTTTTTAATTAATCTCTGCATAGACATCGATTTGTATAGGGGCCCTAAGTAGGGAATCTTATGGTTCCGTGCTGTACCTCTCATCCACAGATATCTACCAGACCGAAGTTCGGGCTAGCTTCTCTCATTCAACTTCGCTGACCTACTTCCCAATCTTTGTATACTTTTTAAAGCTTGATAAATAGAAGAATCATGAAGCACTCCACAAGGATCGAATCCAAGGGATTTTGCTTGGCCTAGGAGACTATTTTAAATTGCTTCGGCTTGTGGGGGATCGGACATAGCAGCTTTGTCAACCTTTCAGGTTTTGGAAAGGGGGAAATCCATAGGCGTTCCCGACGAAAATGCATCATTTTGGGAAGGCTAAGACTGATATGGACACGTGAGCTCGGGATTTTCTCATAGATTCTTCCAAAAAGGATAAGATGGTATAAGAAAACAGCATCTATATAAATAAGAAGCCATGACTTACCGGCGTTATCTTGAATTCCATGAGCCTCTAATACTGTGGTTATATTACATTTGCAATGCCGTGTAAAACTATTCCAGTATGCCTAAAATAGAGTAAACAGAGTACGATACTACTTGCTCATTGAATAAACAATAAATAAACAGGAATATACCGCATTCACAGTTCGAACTAATAGCCAGTGAACTTCATAGACTACCTGTGAGCCAGTTCGATGGCCATCGATTTCATTCACGCCCGTAGTGACGACCTTATTCGTTCATGCGTTTTCGTCAAACGGACCCTGTACCTGAGGGACCAAAGCAAATTATTTCTTTCTTGCGAGTTCGTTCCAAAAAAAGTCCTGATCCCAAGATTGATGGCGTTCGTTGTCGTCCGTGCGATTTCTGAGGGTATCGCAGGTAAACGGGAAATGGCCTCTGATTGCAATCGACGTGGGTGGTCAAAGCACTCAGACTATGGTCACCCACTAGTCCACGCAACGTTTCTTCTGCTTATTCTGCAGTGAGTGTGAACCAGCTCGAGGGGACTAGTGGGCACAAACGGAGAAAGTCAAGCTCCAGAATGGATTGTTTCAGGTGTGTTCCCTTAGGAGGTTGTATGGTTCCATTCGATAGCGGGAAGATGCGGCTGTATACATAACTCACAAAGGCTATTTCGACTACTACCACGAGAAGTAGAACTGCATAATGAAAAAAAACATTACAGGCCTTCCAGAGGAAACTTCAATGTGAGAAAAAATCGACTTTTCAAATATAAACGGAATACAAAGTTAGCGAAGTACTCACTCACGCCATAAAACCTGGGACCACCTTCATCCAAAGGAAAGCCTCAGCAGTTGATCCTACAGGTCTCTATGGCCTCGGTCTTTCTTCCTGTTCTACACGGGTGTCGACGACGGTAGAAGCTGTCGGAGAGCAGGGTACAAATGGCGGTTGATGCATGGGGGGCGCTTTCCTACGTCCAGCCTGCAGTGGCGACCGAGCAAGTATGGACCGCAGAGCGCGGTGCCCCCAACGAATTCAGTTGACGGGAACATCTCGGTCCAACTGTCACTGATAAGTTTATAGTGACGTAATAGCCATCAGAGGGTAATGCATCAGATCAACAGTAGCCTAGATTGAAAGAAAGTTCACCTTTCGGGATTCTATCGGTTTCCGAGTTTTTCTTTCCTTCGAAAAAGGGGTCATATGTTCTCCTGTAAATTCTTGAATGATCATGAAAGGCCAATTTCAAAAATAAATATATGAATACGTTCACTTTTATAAACCAGCTCCGATGAAACCGAGAAAAAATGCACAAGTGGTACCTACAGAGAAATTCTGTCGAATAGGAGTGTCTGTCCAATAAAGCTGAAAAACGATGATAGCGAACTCGAAAGCCGTAGAAACTCTGATCATTTTTATTGAAAAATTTATCCTGAAAACCGATTTCGGTATTCACTGTAACCGTTTAGCCTCAAGTACCTTATATTAGCTTCAGAAAATTCGAAAAATATCGATCTCCTCGCACCCTTCATGTGAAATAGAAAATATGTCAGTGTCAGGATCAGATCCAGATGGAACCGTGTGATCGGAACTTCTTATTAAAGGGGAGAGGTGCTGGGGATTGGAGTTCTAAGGAGGTCTTATGTGAAAGACTGTTCCGTTCTACTAAGGACCCCTCTCAAAAGGGGCATGAGATACATGTTTTATATTCAAGACCTACTCCGATGAAGCCTCCTTTTGAAGCTGAAGCTGGGAATTGGTAGTACATTTTAGGAGCTTGAATGCTTTCTTAGATGACAAGATAACACGATAGATGATAGAATCTGTAATGGATTGATAGGCAGCTCTAGAGAAGGGCATATAAATAAAGCCTTTTCTTTCTTGATAGCCTGGCCTACATTTTTATTTTATTTGAGCAGCTTCTGTACACCGTAAAATGTACTCACTTGTAAAAACGATCTTGAAAATTATGTTCTACTTAACCTGTGTAACCACATAAGTTCATTTGGATGGATTTTCTTGTGAAAAGATTTGGTTGGATTCACACTCAGACTTGTGTCTGAAATGCCCCACGTATCCAACTTTTTATAGAAGCGAAGGATTCTGTGAAGCTGGAAATGTCAGATTAGTCATATTTGCATTTGAGCAGCTCGAAATTTCTAAGTCTTCTTGTCCAGTTCCACGTTATGCTCGCCGTTGTTTGAATTGTTGAACCTTTGATGTGTAGCAGGACACACTGGGTTACACAAATGTCAGTAAAATTGTTCGATTGTAACCAATCGATATCGTTCAATAATGCTATAGTGCACTGAAGAAAGATGGTGCCACATAAGTTCGATTTTAGTGAGTTCTGTCTGATGTGAATTTTTGAGGTTTATCTTGTTGTTGAACAGCACGACAGTGTTTTGCTCTTACTTAGCGTATTTTTTCTTTTTCTTTTTTTATTTTTAATGAATGAATTTATGTTCAAATTCCCTCCGGCTGATTAACAACGACATTTTTCACGGGGAAAACTACGAAAAATGCCTTCATGGAGCTTATTTGCTTAGAAGCCTAATTTGAGCAGCTGGTCATCGTGGGTTGAAAAGCAGCTGACCTCAGTTATTACGAAAGCTGCTGCACAGCGACTGTCCGTGCAAATTCCGCAGATTCGTCACTTCTCTCTCGAGGACCCATCGAAGTTGTGACAACGTGGTTCTCTTTGAGGAGTCCTTTTATCGCTCTCAGAGCTTTTTGAGCCATTCCCGAGACTCAAAGACAAGATCATTTCTTGATGATCTCTCACTTTCACTACTTCGCGCTCGTCCCTTTCCAAGCGGAGCCTCCCCAGTTCAATCGAGGCGAGGTCTTGCATCGCCTAGACAAAGTTGGGGAAGCACATTCTGTGACGAAGTCCCTCATCCTATTCACAGCATTGTTTCCAAGGTAACTCTCTGCATCGTCTGGGCACAACTGCCTTCCATGGATCATCCTCAAGGGAAGCACATCCCCAGTGTTCCCCTCACAGCACTCTTGACTGTTCCTGATACTCTCAGAACGAATTTATGAGCTTATTTTCGTCCATACATGCTGAGGTAAGGACAAAAAAGCAACAATTATAAGCTGTCAAAATATCAACCGACGACGTGCTCTTGGACTTAAGGAGATGCATTGGAAGGGTTAGACGAAGAAACATTGCAAAGATTGCCATACTGTTGGATGGTGGTAACTGGTACATTGAATGTAGAACATGTGTCGTTGAAGTTCAGAATTTCCCTGAAGAGAAGTTCGGTTCTCAAAGTGTTTTTTTTTAAATAATCCTCGACGACTTGTTCGAAAGACTAATTTTTGCGCAAAAATAAACTTACGTGATATTGAATGGCTCCGGAACATAGTATTGAGTGGTGACGTTTTGCACTATGCTGCAATTTTTTTGTTAAAATCAAAATTTTTCATTAAAACAATGATCAATATTTTTTATCTGTACTTTTTTATTATATTTCAAAAATTAAATTACTCAGTTCTCACGCTGTTTCGACTTACTGGCAGTTTGGGAACTGGATCTTGTTGTTTTAAAACTATCTTTTCTTTAAAACTCATGGTCCTAGCTTGTATTGTACAAAGTCCATAATAGCACGGCATCTGTACTTCATGTTACGGCTACTACTCCAGAAAATCAGCCCATTGACTCCCATCATGGCGGGCTGTTTCAGTGTACTGCATAAATCGTACTGAAAATTAGCGGTTTTTGCGGTCCTGGTAATGAAAGGAATAAAAGACGAGCATTTGAGAGATCCTCAAAATGATGATCACAATGAATTCTCGAAGTTACATATAAACGGAATCACAAAATTTGTAAAGTATAGAACCCACGTCATCATAGAATGAGCAGTTCTCTTTGAGAGGATCATATTCGAATTTGGTGTACGGGTAGATAGGTAGTGGTGGTTTGTATTTTTGAGCAATCCGGTTTGCTTCTCTCAGAATTGCCTGCAAGTACGAAGAATAAAGTCTCCAACGTTGATCAATTCCCTTTCTAGGATGCACCCCCAATTCAGTATAGAATTGTAGTGGAGGTCTGAAAATGTATATGGCCTATACAGGGTTTCCAACCAACCTGCAAGTCACTTTCATTATCCACTAGACGACACCAACTATTTGCAAGTATCCGATCCCAGAGGAACGGAAAGCTCGTCCGACATAAGCTAGTACCGATCCGGGTTCCGATCCCCGCACCAGCACGCATTAGCAGGCCATATGCTACTCATGATACTTTACAACAGAAGATTTCAGCAAATCTCACCTGAACATATCGAAAACGATGTTCTGGAGAAGCTTTGAACCCAAGATAAATTGATGGGAACAACGCAGTGCTATTATCGAAGATATACATCATACTAAAAAAATTTTCAAAATGAAAAGTAGAAAGAGTCCAGTTTCCTACTGAAATCATTCTTGATCTTTCAATTTGGTAGAGAGGAAGCTTCACCTGAGGGGTCTTTGATCCCCAGTAGTAGAAACTGCTCTCAAGAATGCTGTTTAGACGCCACGTAAAGGAAGGTAATTCTTGGATACTGAAAATTGGGGTGGAACCATGTGGAGTGTATCGGTCTCTTACGCACGTTAGTCAGTTGAACGCATTTGCTGATACCATCTCAGGGACTATCCCTCCCAAAGACCAACATATGTAACTTCTGGGTGCAGGTACGTCACTGTCCTTTTTACGACTAGAACCCTTCTTTAAAGAGTTTCACTAAATACTTTTTTTTTTGATAAAATATAGTTGAGTGATGAAATGTCAAAGTGAAAAAAACAACATTACTCGTCGTTGAATTGCTGATATAAGGGAGAGCATTCATAGTTATTGTCCTTTGTTCCTGCATCGTAGTTACAATATGGAAAACCATACATACCCCATGATGCATTCGGGCGAAGCTCACGAGCTTTTACTAACGTCTTCAGAATGAATTCCCTTAAATATGTTAATTTGAAAATAAGAAGAAGGCAAAAACTACAGACATCTTCACGACTAATTTATTTGACTCGACATGTTAGTCTGTTGATGGAGCAAGTGTTTAGGTGAGTAAAGGTAAATTATCTCACACCTATTTCCAATCTGCTTCTGCAGGCCCTTAATAACTGCTACCTTCCTGGATTTTCATTTCCCTTCCTATGTCACATGTGGGTGGATATATACTTCGCAGGCAACGCCGAAAGTATAAGCAAATGAGCAAATGAGCAATCGGGAGATCTGTGAAATCTCGCGATACTTCAGTTAGTCTTGTGACAATATGAGAATGTGATCGGTTGTTATGAACCTGCTCCATGTTTCCTCGTGCCTGTGCCCTCTTTGCCCCCGTAGCTTTCCTTCATCCATGTTCCTGCTAATCCTGTTGAAGTTGACTCGTTTAAGCAGTTTGAGGACTACACAAAACGGCAGACTGGGCGATAATCAAAAATTACAGATGCAAAGGACTGATGGCTTTCCACCACATGGGAAATTCGTGTTAAGCCTGTCGTACTTGTACTTTCCGACGATGCTTCACGAAGAGCTTAGAGATTCCGAATCTGAGGTAAACTTTGGAACGACAGCGGCGTCAGGCAAGCAAATTTTCTTGTTGAAGATGGTGTGATCTATTTCATCATCACGACTGGAACTTTCCACCAGCTGACACCCATGCCCATCGCTAATGGAGGGGCTTCTGGGACGGCGAGTGAATGGTCTATGAATGGTCTGGGAAGACATGATAAATTCAGACAGTCAATCACCCTTCTCATTCCATCTTCTCGTTTGCAAACTTACGATTGGAGTAGTCAAGCTTTTGTACGAATTGATGTTCATAGTCATGTGAATGTAAAGTATTAATAGGATTAGACGAGAACACCTGCGCCACCGACCACTCTTCTGCGGTATGTTCCAATAAGCAGTTCTCCTTCATGAGCGGCGTGTAGTAGCCGATGCCTCCTCGTCCCGATCAGCCCGTCCCGTGTCTGACCTTCCTAACTTGCACCCCTTATGCATCATCTCCGATACACGCTCCCAACGTTTCCAAGGTTCATGCACTGAAAGTACATATCGCCAAATCATTATTGGTATTTGTGCAACCAAGTAAAGTCATTCAAAGATCATATTCTTCCTGTAGTTACTCAGCTATGAAGTATATACTTATTAAGCCAATGTCGAAACTTACACATTTGTTTTTGCTTATCAAAATTGAATTTGAAAATCACAAAACCGAAACTAAACCAACATCTTACGTACTTTGCTGCCGCATTGTATTCCTCTGTAGCAGTTTTACGCACTTGTTGCTTGGTGTAGTTGCTGTGTGCTTGTTTTACGAGCGCTTCGGCTGTTTCTTGGTAAACCTGTGACCAACAAACTTGTTCTTGTGTATTTATGAAATCCATCCTTAGTTAGACTTTCTGTTCCCCTTCAACGCTTTGTTCTATTTTACCAAGATTCACGAATGTCGCACCCGGGTTGGTGATTTTCTCGAGATAAATCCTTCACATTGATTGCTAATCTTTGAGGGGTGCCCATTCATGTACCGGTCACCCAGCCGTAAACCCCTCCACACACCGTCTCGAAAGGAGCTATAATGAGAAAAATTCACGAAACTGACCTTTTTTCTGCCTCCATTCTGCCGGAATAGAGGACGCCATTCCTCGAAGTCAACTACGGCAAGAGTTGTATCATCTACGCCTTGTATGGTACTAGTAATACTAATCTCGGCAATTCTCAGATGTTCTGCCATACCGTCCTGTGTTACGTTCTGCAAATTATAAACTTCTTATTAGGGTCGAATCGTAAAAGGGAAATATCTCTACTTCGTACCTGAGGCGTACCGAAATTGATGGGATCACTGATGCTGTAATTGTAGTTGTATGGGTAACGGCCGAAAGTAAACTCGTGAAATAGAGCCACCTTGTCTCCAGAGTAATTCATGCCTGGTAAAACATTTTTGAAGCTCTCGTCGAAATCTCGTCGACCGAATAATCATGAAATCGCTAGAGAAGGACCATCGAAAGGTAATTCAAGCTTTATTCAGTAATTCGGCAGAGAATGGCTCTCACCTGCGTTGTGAATGATGCTGAAGTTGTCCAGTATTTGCTCCAACTCATCTTTGCAATGCCACGAGAAAATGTTCCAGTAGGTCTGAAGTCATTTTTCGGAACGAACGGAACGGAACGTTAGTCAAATCGATGAAGAAATGCTGAAGTCAATTTCACCTGTGGAAAATTTCTCACACTTTGGAGCATTCCTTTGGTGTTCGACAGCCCAGCAGCAGGGGTAGAGAAAACCGAGATCTACGCCTATACGGTACCGACAGGAAAGAAGGAACTTAAAACTAATGTTCGTGAGAGGGTTTCTTTTCTTCACAGCTATGAAATTCGGACCCATTACGAGCCATGCCAAGATTAATGGAGAGTCAGTCATGGAATATTCTAGACCCATTACAATTCTTCTTCTAAATTTTCTATTCAGTGATTGGCCCGAAGTGGACTTCGAAAGGAGGGATATTAGGCTATTGCCGGGTGAGGCAGATGGTACCGAACTACAAAGAAAGGATAAAAAATGAACCGGTAAATCAGCTGCCCCTTGAGTCGCTGTATATGATGGACATGCAACCGATATCCCTACGGTTCCCAATGAAAATCGGATGCGTGAATGAGTAACGCTGAAAACTTTGTCCCTTACGATTTGTTTTGAAGTATAGAGTCAGATTCCCAGTATTGCAACGTTCGTAAGCATCATTCCTTAAAATATGTTTGTACGATTTACAATCAAATAAAGTAAATTACGACACTTACGGTGAAATTAGCATCCAACAAAAGAGGTAGAATGCCGGCCACTATTAAAGTTAAATGTTTTGAACCCATGGAGACAAGACCTGAACATAGGCTGGCACTTTTTTGGCTACAGAAATTTTGATTTTTCTTTCGCTATGCTGTTTATGTAGAAATAGAATTTTTTGTATCAGAACCCACGATTAATATTCGTGGCGAGAGGACTATGGAGTTTTTCATCTGTGGTTTTTCCATTTCTGGGATAATCCGTTTTTTATTCAAATCAATTTTTTCGTTTTTTCAAATACCTTCAGCGGTTCAGATAAAATACTGCGTAGCTGGAAGCCCTCCCCCACCTCATTTCCCTCAGTTTATTTCACTTGTTGATCATCAAGCGCTCGCAAACTTCTGAGACGCGTCACCCTGTCATTTGTTGTCCTTGTCGACCATCAAGTCGAATCTGATTGCTTCTGTGGGTGCAATTCCAACTTCGAGAATCCTCACGGTAAGCCATACTTCCTTCGATTAGTACGAGATATTAGGCCCCCCAGAAATATGCCCGACAGGACTTCATCTCGCTCTTTATTATGATCGTAATATCTTGTTCATGATACTGTTCGGTGTACTCCTCTACATCAACACTTTCGCTTTTCCATCTTAAACGGGTACTCAAATTTATCGTGAACTGTGCCTCTAAATCTCTACAGTCATTGTTTTGAATCAGATTCTGAAGCTATGTTTAGGCAAACTCATGGTAATCGGTATTAGGAAAACTATTCAGAACAGCTAAATTTTCTAAGGTCATACAAGAGAGGTTTCGCGTAACTATGGAAGAAGTCGATTGATTACATTTTCTCTTCATGGAGACCCTTTTTTTGTCAACACCATT